AAAAAAAAAAAAAAAAACTCATTTTGAGTGTATATATTTGTATACAAGCACGCGTTAAAAAATCATTTTTCTATATTTAGGTGGAATATATAGAAATCAAAGAGAGAACAGAACTCCGAGTTCCCGGATATGAAAAACCCGTCGAGTTTGGGGTGCTGACATCATTTGCGTATCCTCTGGAAGGAGATTTAGGTGAAATTATTGTGGCAACTACTCGAGTGGAAACCATGCTTGGTGATACTGCGATTGCCATTCATCCTGATGATCCAAGATACAAACACGTTCATGGGAAATTTGCAATTCACCCTTTCAATGGGAGAAAACTTCCTATTGTTTGTGATTCAGTGCTTGTAGATATGAGTTTCGGCACAGGTGCTGTTAAGGTAGAACCAATTGTTTTTTTTTTGTGGTTTGGATCACTGTTATCTGTTTTTGCAGTTTTTTCTGAGAAGTCTATGCTAATGTAACTTGAATATATTTTCTGTAGATAACTCCAGCTCATGATCCTAATGATTTTGAGGTTGGCAAGCGTCATAATCTTGAGTTCATCAACATTTTCACCGATGATGGAAAAATAAATAGCAATGGTGGTCAGGAGTTTGCTGGAATGCTGCGTTTTAGGGCTCGTGTGGCTGTGACGGAAGCTTTAAAGGAAAAGGTAGTATTAATTTTTTTATGTACTTTTAGGCGTCGAAGTTTTTGTTTTGTTTTGTTTTGTTTTTTTTTTTTGGGTTTTGGTTTTGTTTGGACTGTTTGGTTTTTTTTGTTAATTTTGAAAAAGGTGGTATGATTATTTGTTAGTTGGATTTTGAGTTTATATTATAATAATGTTGAAAATAAAATAATTAAAATTGATTTGATGTAAAAGTAGGGGAAGAGGTGATGTGAAGTGATAATTAGTTAAAGTTATGTGAGTGAATGAATAGTGAATTAATGTTGATTTGATGTGTAAGGATGATTGATTGGTATTATTTTAATTACATTGATAATATTGAGGATAATATGGTTGAGTTGAAGTTGAGTTAGATTTGGGTTAAAAATGATTGATTTATTTGAAAATAATTGTATCCAAGCATCACCTTGTTTTAAATGAATATTTAATGGTTGATTTCCTTGCAACTTAGGGACTTTATCGAGGTGATAAAAATAATGAGATGCGTCTAGGAATTTGTTCGAGAAGTAATGATGTCGTGGAGCCCCTTATAAAGCCTCAGTGGTATGTAAACTGCAAAAGCATGGCACAACAAGCTCTTGATGCTGTCATCGATGAAAAAAATCCAAAAATGGAGATCATTCCCCGTCAATACGTTGCTGAATGGCAGAGGTAATTAATTATATAATTAACTGTTATAGTGACTTTTGGTTTCTTACTGAACACAATACAACTCCGATTAAACATTTATATTCAACAATGTTCCGTCTGTGTGAATATATGGTGTTATAAATGTGCCTCCGATGGAACGAAAATGATTTGTTTTTCGTATTTTTCCCCCTTGAATTTGATACTATAAGGGTGTGTTTGTTTATCAATTATCTCAACCCATACTCAATTCATACTCAAAATCTAACTCAAATCCCACTACCAGCCAATCATTCTTACATATCACTTCAACTTTAATTCATTATTCATCCACTCACATAATTTTAACTAACCATCACTTCATATGTCATACTTTTATATCTAATTTAATTATTTTATTTAATTATTATTTTAACAACTAACCATACCAACTTTCTCAAAATTAACCCTGGTTTAAAAAAAAAAAAAACTCCTTTGGATATATTTGTATACAAACACGCCCTAAATCTCCGATTTATGCCTCTGTTTGAGAATACCCATGATCATTGAAGGTGGCTCGAGAATATTCGTGATTGGTGCATTTCAAGACAACTGTGGTGGGGCCACCGAATTCCTGCATGGTATGCGATTTTGGAAGATGATGAACTGAAAGAACTTGGTGCGTACAATAAACAATGGGTGGTTGCTAGGAATGAAGAAGAGGCTCGAGCGGAGGCTAGCAAAATGTTTGCCGGAAAGAAGTTCCAGCTTTTCCAGGATCCTGATGTTCTCGACACTTGGTTTTCATCTGGCCTTTTCCCACTATCCGTATTGGGCTGGCCCGATAACACAGAAGATCTTCGGGCATTCTACCCAACATCTGTGCTTGAGACTGGCCATGATATATTATTTTTTTGGGTCGCTCGAATGGTGATGTTGGGAATCAAACTAGGGGGCGATGTGCCGTTTAGCAAGGTGGGTTTTTTTTTTCTTTTCTTTTTTTGTTTTCACAATTTTGTAAAAAAATGACATTTTGATTTTCATCATTTTTTTATATGTATATATATTTTTTATTGTTTCTTACATATGCGAAGGTTTATCTGCATCCTATGATTCGTGATGCCCACGGACGAAAAATGTCCAAATCATTAGGAAATGTTATTGATCCCCTTGAAGTCATTAAAGGAGTAACCCTCGAAAATCTTCACAAAAGGCTAGAGGAGGGAAACTTGGATCCTAACGAACTGAAAACTGCAAAAGCGGGGCAAAAACGAGATTTCCCGAAGGGTATTCCCGAATGTGGAGCCGATGCTTTGCGTTTCGCCCTCGTTTCGTATACAGCTCAGGTTCGTTCGAAAACCTATCCTTTGTTTTTAATTAATAATTCTCTTCAAACGGTGATCTTCATATTTTTTTTTTCAGTCGGACAAAATCAACCTCGACATACAAAGAGTTGTCGGGTATCGTCAGTGGTGCAATAAATTATGGAATGCTATCCGATTCGCCATGACTAAACTAGGAGACGATTATTTCCCGCCAAACGAGATTCTTCCTGCCGAGATGCCTTTCAGCTGCAAGTGGATACTCTCTGTTCTCAACAAAGCCATAGCAAAAACAAATTTATCTCTTGATTCGTACGAATTTTCCGATGCGGCTACAGCTGTCTACTCGTGGTGGCAGTTTCAACTTTGCGACGTGTTTATTGAAGTAAGCAAGCCATATTTTGCTGATAACAGCAATAATCCTGCGTCTGCATCCGCAAGGAGATACGCGCGGGATACACTGTGGGTGTGTTTGGATTACGGGTTGAGATTGCTTCATCCGTTTATGCCTTTCGTCACCGAAGAATTGTGGCAGCGTCTCCCTTGTAAGAAAGACTCCGTGAGGAAAGAATCTATCGTGATATCTGAGTACCCCTCGATTGTGGAGGTAATAATGTCTTTGGACGCGTTTATACGTTACTATTTTATCTAATTAACGAAAAACAGAAAGTACCTTTCCGAATTAGGAAAAAAAAAGAAAAAAACATCTTGGGATAGCTAGAACCTTCCTTTTAAGGTTTGTGTTTGCTCGACACTTCTGATCTCGCTTGTCTCCGCAATTTAAAAACGGAAACAAATGTTGACCAGATAATTTTTTGAACTCAAAATCCAAGTCATAATTTATTCAGCTCAACTTTCATCAATATTATCCATATAATTAAGTAATACCAATCAACTATCTTCATGCGGATAATTTTTTTAACTCAAAATCCAAGTCATAATTTATTCAACTCAACTTTCATCAGTATTATCAATATAATTAAGTAATACCAATCAATCATCTTCACACAGCACATCAACTCTAATTCTAATTCACTATTCATTCACTCACATAAATTTAACTATTCATCACTTCCAATCACTACTTTTACATCACATCAATTTTAATTTAATCTTTTTTTATTCATCACTTCCAATCACTACTTTTACATCACATCAATTTTAATTTAATCTTTTTTTTTTCTCTTCTTTTTTGCCGCCTTAATTATAATGCTCGACGGTTTTGTTATGCAGAGTTGGACTAACGATGAAGTGGAGTTAGAGATGGATATGATCGAGTCGGTGGTGAAATCGCTGAGGTCTCTTCGATCACAGTTGGCGCCAAACGAGAGGCATGAAAGGTATACGTGGCATTTTTTTCAATCTTCCGACCATGTCGAAACATTAGGGTTCAATTATTATTATTTATGTGCTTATTGCAAAGTAAAACACGATATAAACAAAGACCCAAACATACCACACGTCACATATTGTTTCGTAGTTAGTTCCGAGCTTGCTAACTTGGACAGTTAACCTTTTTGCAGGCGAGCGGCTTTTGTTCGTTGCCGCACTAACGATACATGTGATGTCATAAAGAGTCATGGACTTGAGATTACAACTCTAGCCACATTATCATCTCTTGAAGTATGTCGATATTTTATCCCGTGAACAATTTTCCTTTTTTTT